GTGCTGTAGTGATTAAGAATCTGGATTAGGAGTTATAGATCTTCCTTGGGCACAGAAGCTGGCTGATTGTTTGCAAACCAGCAATTTTTTCTCAGCACTAGAACGAGTAGTTGAAAAACACCTGCCTACTATCCTCCTCTAGATCAGCATGATAGATAGCAGAAATGTAACCTTTAGTGAAAAGACTTTCATCCTGAAATGGGCTGATTAATGTTGAAGTGTGTATGTGTATTGTATGCATAAATAGCAAAGGCAGACACAAGTTAAAATAATAAACAATAATTATGGGACCCCAAATATTTAAGCCACCTTGGAGGCTGACACATTGTATCGATACAAAACAAAGAATCAAGACAATAATCATATTGGATGTATCGGATGTCCTCCATTGTTCAGTGACTTCTAGAAGCTTTCTTGCAGCATAATTCAAAACAGAGAACAGGATTCATATCACAAGGTTACACATCTCTGGCATAAAAATATTTATTGTACATAAAAAGTATGTACAGGAAAATAATTGCATATGTGCAAGAACATAAGGGTCAGGAACATAATTTTTCTGGATATATATATATATATATATATATATATATATATATATATATATCTTTAGCTTCTATGATAGAAGACACAGGTAGTCCCTGACTTACAAGCATTGATTTAGTGACCATTTCAAAGTTACAACAGCACTGAAAAAAGTGATTTACAACCGCTCCTCATAGCATCTCCACAGTCACGTGACTTAAATTTTGACATTTGACAAGCAGCATATGTTTATGACAGTTGTAGTGTTGTCCCCGGGTCATGTGATCACCATTTGTGAGCTCCCCACTTCCCCCATCCCTATCTCAGTCAGCTTCCGGAAAGAAAAGTCAATGGGTAAAACTGCATTCCCTTAATGTTCATATCATTCACTTAACAACTGCAGTGATTCACTTAACTGTGACAAAAAAGGTTATAAAAATAGGCATGACTCATTTAACAAATATCTTGCTTAGCAACAGAAATTCTGGCCCCAATTGTGGTTGTATATCAAGGACTACCTTTACTGGCATAAGATAATATATTGTTTGATTACAATGCAGCATCAAGTAATGAAAAATAGAAAAGAAGCCATATAAAGAGCTATAACTGCTCCCTGTATATTTTATTAGCAAGATTATTTAGTGTCCAGTGCTAATATTCAATGGATTTACAAGTCATGTTAGAAATCCTCTCACAAACCAGCCAAACTCATCAAGCATTGCTTTCTTAAGATTTTTTTTTAATGGACACTATATAAAACTGTTTGCAAACTTTGTTCATTGACAGTAACAATTACGTCTATTAACCTAATGAAACTATTTGAAATATTCCAGGACTAGATGCTTCTGAATAACCAATGTTGTTGTAAATATATTATTGATTACATTACCAAGATCTGTTATCACTTTAATACTCTATTTCTCAGTATCATCAAATGTAACAGATAGCAACATCAATCATAATTTTAGAGAACTTCAACTGCACATTTCACAGTCATTCTAATATCAATAATGTTTTGCATATAAATTACACTATGGACATGAGAAAATGGAGGAGCAGAACACAGGTACATCTTCTAGCTAATTGTATTAAACTGATTGGAATATTCATCATATTACTCAAGATCTTAAATTTATATGTCAATTTACAATATAATGTATTAGAACTTTTGAACGATCTTTTAAAATAAAAAAGTAAGATTACAGAAGAAGTTTTGCAGCATTGACACTATAACTCTAATAGATTTTCTCAAAAACAAAATGCCCATATAAGTGGCATTTCCTATATTTCTAACACTACAGAAAAAGATTAGATTCAAAGGATAAAATGTGATTTGAGGCATGAACAAGCATGCGCATGACATCTGATGGGAGCAAATTAAATGTATCTCTTTTCAGGATTGAACATCAGCTCTGCAGTGTAGCATAAACCCAGGAAAAGATGTACCAGTAGTTTCTTTAAGACATTCCCAACAATAGATATATCCATGTCCCAAATCATATTTAAGCTCTCAAATCCAGAACTCTGCAGTGTCCTACTAAAGAACACCAAACATATTCAACCTAAAGGACATATTAAAATAAAAGGCAAAAAGATTAATGAGATCTAAAGAAAAACCAGATGACTGAAGTAGATATATTACAATAGTTTAATTTTCTCAACATTTGATACCCCGATTATAAATCTTTGCATATAATAGCATTATTTTATCCATGTATAGAGTTTGATTTTTTAAAAATAGGTAGCCTCAGATTTGGGACATCATATGTACTTATCATGGTATTTTATCTTGGTGCAACAATACCTGAAATTCACTGTTGAAGACATTCTTTCCATTTTTATTTCTTTTCTAAATAATTTGAAACATTAACCATGGAGCTTGGCATTCACAGGTATTATTTCAGAGGATTTTTTTTTTATTATTTGATTTATATGCCGCCCTTCTCCGGAGACTCAGAGCGGCTTACAATGCGTTAAGCAATACTAAACTTACAATGCATTAAGGAATTACTAAGAAGCTGAAGTACAATGCCTATTTATAAGCATGATGCATGATGTCTTTTATTACATTCAGCCATTCCCTTTGAAATAATACATCCTAAAACAAAATTACTCACTTTTCAACTATATACAGATACAACAAAAGCAATAAGAGATAGAGTTTATGCTAGCTGCAGAACCTCATATTAACATATCCAATATCAAAAATGACTTTAAAACTTAATTGAATTTCCTATATTTTTATAGTTTTTTCTAAAAAAAACCCTTTTCATATCAAATATTGAACATGTAAAATTGTTGAAGTCAAAAGATGCACTTTGCAGCCCCCCTGTGGTAAAGCAGAATTTGGAACTCTTGATACAATTCAGATATACCAGGGGTTAAATTGTTGTAACACTTTTCAGATGCCTATAAACTAAACTCAAGAATTTGCCACAGAAACTCAATGGATTGGGATTTAATGAAGAGCAATAAATGGATACTCAGCTATAACAGTATATTTCAACATATCCCCACCACTACTGTTGTTTATGCTCAGCTCAAACTTCATGCAAATTACGTAAAGTTTGACTAATAGTAAATCAAACTGACCTTTTAATATCAAATATTTTGGTTTTTAAGTCTGCAAAACATTTCTTTTTATTTTTTTGAAAATGTTACCTCTGGATGTCAGTGATGAATATAAACTTTGTTTTTCAAAACCCAACAATTTATTTCATACAAGAAAATATTTTCAAATCAACTGCTTTTCTATTTTTGCTTATCTCAGAACAGCCAATGAGCAGTTACAGGTAGTCCTCGACTTGCAACAGTTCATTTAGTGACCATTCAAAGTTACAATGACATTGAAAACAGTGACTTACGAGCGTTTTTCACACAACCATTGCAGTGTCCCCATGGTCACGTGATCAAAATTCAGATGCTTGTCAACTGATTCATATTTATGACGGTTGTAGTAGCCCAGATTCATGTGATCACGTTTTGCAATCTTCTGACAAGCAGTCAAAGAGCAAGTCAAATTCACTTAACAATCATATTATTAATTTACGGTAACTGCAGTGATTCACTTAAAACTTTGGCAAGAAAGGTTGTAAAATGGTGCAAAATTCACTTAACAACTGTCTTATTTAGCAACAGAAATTTTAGGCTCAATTGTGGTTGTAAGTCGAGGACCACCTCTACTTCATAGTCTAAAACTAGAGAAAAGGATGTCAAATAACAGGTATATATCAAAGCAATTCACAGACATCAAGATGATTTGTAGTTCTCCAAAGCAAATTTGGTAATATTAAAAGCAGAAAACATTAATGCATAACATCCAAATAAATCTATGAATAGTGTCATCATCATCACATAGGGAATACATATTTCATCATATAGGGAATACAGGAAGACTCTAGGGATTATCCAAAGAGCTTTATGCCACAGAAACTATGACTTTTCTCAACCCAATATATTCTGGAAAATGGCTGTCTTTTAAGGGAACAGATATCAAAACTTCCACAAAATGTTTCAAGGGGCTTTACCCTGAATTAGAAACAATGAAGTGCCAAAGTAGTTCTGTAACTGAGCAATCCCTGCAAATAAATAAATGCATTTATTTGCTAGAAAATTTAAACAGACATCAAAAAATATTTTAAACTTCACTTATGCAACAAGTTATATATTTAAACAAAAATCTTCAGGTGTTCTTTTCGGGAAAACGCCACAGGTCTTGTAATATTATCCAGCCAATACGGTCTTCAGGATAAATTAACCTCTTACAAGGCAAACAACCATTTTACCCCTAGTTTAATTGTTGTCTTCAATCTTCTGACGGCGTAAATTTACAACCACCGGCAGCCAAGTCATCGGTTGAAAGGACAAGAAGCGAGCATCCCTGGGTGCATCGGGCTGGAAGGTGAATCGCCTTCCAGATGCTTAATCTTCCCAGGCGCTAAACAGCAACCCAAGCGCGGCGGTGCAGCACGCATATCTAATTCATCCCTAAAACTCCACTCGCTTCTCTCACGGCACCTCAAACTTTCCGGTGACTCTTAAAATCTCCAGGACTGAGGCAGGTCGAAGAAGTCCCTTTTCCCCTTTCTCTCCCCGACCTGAACAGCTCCTCCATCTCCCACAGCAGGAGCGAATAGCCAGGAACCTCTTTCCGCCAGTTCTAAGGAGCGCGCAGAAGACTGCCTCAAAACAATTGGGGGGGGGGGGGACACCAAAAACTAGCCCGCCTCGTTAAAACCCCGCGACTGTGCTACATTATACACCACCGAGAACCCCCAACGCCCAAGACAGGCAGACACAACAATTCCGCCCCCCCTCCACCTCGCTACCACCACCCCAGGCGCCAGCGCCTTTAGTGACTGGGAGAGTTGTCCCCGCGGCTCTCGCGCAAATACAAACGAGGCGGCGCCCCTTCCACCTGCGTAGCTTCCCCTGCTTTCCCCTTTTAAAAAAAAACAAAAAAAAACTTCACCTACCTTTGGTGGCGAGAAGGCTGCCAACCCCCAAAAAGAGCAGCGCCCACTCTCGGCATTGCTTCATCCTCTCCGAGCCCCCCCGCCCCCGCCCCGAGCAACAAGAACGTGCCTTATTTTCGGGGGACTATTTTTGCAGCAGCAGCAGCAGCAGCAGCAGCAGCCGTCCTTTAGAAGCGGCTCGGAGATGCGCTCCCTCAACCCGTTCGAGGCTTGGCGACAGCGGAAAGAGCCAAGAGCCAAAAAAGCAGCTCGAACAGCTGTGGCGGCGTCTGCAATTATTATGATTACTGCTACTACTGCGGCTGCCGCTGCTGCTCAGTCATTCGCAGGCTGTACTGCCAGGACCGGAGCAGCTCTCCAGCTTTCACCGCGGGACTGCTGCAACGTCACTGGGAGGAGAGGCGTGAATATTCATGAGGAAAGAGAGGCGGGAGGGGAAATAGACGCTCCGTTGGAAGGAAGCTCACCCGGTCTGTTTCCTTTCGAAGCGCGCGGGAATTGTGCGGTCCGCTTTAGGCACGAGTCCTTGTCAGAAGGCGCCAGCCTAAAGGGAGGCAGTTGTGATTTCTGAAGCTTGTCTCGTGAACCCTGAGAAAGAAAAGCAGTATTGCTGGTTTTACTCATTGCTTGGGCATCTTCGCTGTGTACTGCAGCAACGCAAAGATTTGGGCTTTGGTACTTTTAGAAAGCTCCGACACTTTCCAAGCCTAAATAAGGACCACGGAAAGCTCTTCTTGCTCCCGAAGTTACGCCTCAGGGGGCCGCAGCGTTCAATCTAGACTCTAGAGAGCCAGATTCTCCTAGGCCAATCAGAGAAAATGGTGTGGGGTGTCAAGTAACCAGAGCCAGTGACCCAGTCTTCTTCATCAGAAATTGGTAAAACCATTGGGCAACCCTAATCTAGCTTCAAGCACATATATAGTTTTGAGTTTAGCTTTGGAAAAAAGAAAGGGAAAGCTCTGTTCTTGATGTGAAGAATACATTTTCTCGTTATTGGTTGTCTCCTGCATTACCACACTTTAAAGATTATGGATTTTCTTCCTGGAAAAGGCTGGGTTTGCAAGCTGATCAACATTTCAGTGAGGAATTACAGAATACGGTCATCAAATTGCATATGATACAAAGACAATCAAGATTCAGGATAATTTTGACAAGCTGGGGCATTGGGCAGAAGATTTCAACATGAACAGAAATCCTTATTTTTTATTAGGAAAAATCTGAGGCAAGGGTATAGGAAATTGAAAACTGGAGTGATGACAAAAGTTATGATAAGAGACCCGATAAGAAAAAATCTGTGAGGAATTGTTAGGCATGTTTGACCTTAAGAAGAGAAGGCTGGAGGAAGACATGGAAGTTTTCTCCATTGGGCAGGTGGTTTTATTTATTTATTTTATTTTATTAAATTTCTATACCGCCCTTCTCCCGAAGGACTCAGGGCGGTGAACAGCCACATGATAAAACACATAAATACAAAAATTTAAAATAAAATAAAAACGAATTAAATAATTTGGCTGAACAAATTTAAAATACCCCATAATTTAAAAACAAATTAAAATTTACATTTAAAAAGGGGAGAAGATTTAGGCCAGGCCAGCTTGATGAAATAAAAAAGTCTTAAGCGCGCAACGGAAGGTGCGCAGATCCGGGATCCTCCGTATCTCCGGGGGGAGCTCGTTCCAGATCGTAGGTGCCCCCACAGAGAAGACTCTCCCACTAGGGGCTGCCAGTCGACATTGTTTGGCCGACGGCACCCAGAGGAGCCCCTCTCTATGGGAGCGTACTGGCCGGTGGGAGGCTATTGGTGGTAGCAGGCGGTCCTGTAGATAACCAGGTCCTAAGCCATGGAGCACTTTAAAGGTGATAACCAAAACCTTGAAGCGCACTCGAAAGACCACCAGGAGCCAGTGCAGCTCGCGCAGGAGAGGTGTTACATGGGAACTCCACGTCGCTCCCATAACCACCCACGCAGCCGCACTCTGCGCCAGTTGGAGCCTCCGAGTGCACCTCAAGGGGAGCCCCATGTAGAGAGCGTTACAATAGTCCAGACGAGAGGTGACGAGGGCATGAGTGACTGTGTGTAGAGAGTCCCAATCTAGAAAGGGACGCAACTGGCGGATCAGGCGAACCTGATGAAAAATCCTCCCGGTCACGGCCGTCAAGTGCTCTTCTAAAGACAGCCATGAATCCAGGAGGATGCCCAAGTTGCGAGCTCTTTCCGTGGAGGCCAAGGATTCGCCCCCAATACTCAGTAATGGCACCAGCTGACTATACGGGGACGTCAGAAACCACAGCCACTCGGTCTTGGATGGCTTGAGCCTGAGCCTGTTTCTCCTCATCCAGATCCGTACGGCCTCCAGGCACCGGGACATCACTTCAAGGGCATCGTTGGGGTGGTCCGGGGTGGAGATGTACAGCTGGGTGTCGTCAGCATACTGATGGTACTTCACCCCGAAACCACGGATGATCTCGCCCAGCGGCTTTACATAAATGTTGAACAAAAGGGACGAGAGGACCAATCCCTGTGGCATCCCACATATGAGGGGTCTCGGGTCGACCTCTGCCCCCCTGTCAACCCAGACTGTGACCGGTCGGAGAGAAAGGAGGAGAACCACCATAGTATGGTGCCTCCCACCCCCAACTCTTCCAACCGGTGCAGTATGATACCATGGTCGATGGTATCAGAAGCCGCTGAGAGATCTAAGAGGACCAGGACAGAGGAGCAACCCCTATCCTGAGCCCTCCAGAGATCATCAACCAATGCGACCAATGCCGTTTCCGTGCTGTACCCAGGCCTGAAACTCGACTGGAAGGGATCCAGATACGACGTTTCCTCCAGGTACTGGGGAAGCTGTCGCGCAACCACACTCTCAACAACCTTCGCCACAAAGCGAAGGTTGGAGACTGGACGATAATTAGCCAATACTGCCGGGTCCAGGGAGGGCTTCTTGAGGAGAGGCCTCACCACCGCCTCCTTCAAGGCAGCGGGGAAGGCACCCTCACCCAATGAAGCATTTATAATCCCCTGGAGCCAGCCTCACGTCACCTCCCGGGAAGCCAGCACTAACCAGGAGGGACACGGGTCCAACAAACAGTTGGTCACATTCAATCTATCCAGAATCCTGTCCATGTCATCTGGGGTCACAGGATCAAACTCATCCCAGATAACATTCTCAAGACCTGCCTCCGTCACTGTTGCTGGACTTACCCAGTCGGAGTCCAGACTTTCCCGAATCTGAGTGATTTTGTCATGATCATCTAATTCATTGGTTGAACTAGATGATCTTCAAAGTCCCTTCCATTGATTTAGTCTAAAGTATAGACTAATGAAAACAAACACAGTAGCACATCTTTACAATTTGCCATTTCAACCCTTTCCAGTAACGGCATCTCTTTCGTAGGAGTTCTGCAGTATAGAAACATCTTTCTTCATGTCCTCAAAAGCTGCAACCCCATAGTCTGCAGAATATCTTTCAGAGCTTGCTCAACTAGTCACCATCCTTCCTGTACAAATCAGCTGTATATTCTGTGTGTTTATGATAAATTACTTCTTACTCTTGCTGACTAAACAAAAAGCTCTCAAAGTAGTTCATTTTTACTGTATGTCTTCTATTCCCAGCTGTGCCCATTGGCCTTTTGTCATGCGTATCATTCAGCATCATCTTGTACAGAGAAATATCTGACAGATGACCACCATGAACTTTTTGTTAACTCATTCATCTCCAGATTGCTGAACAATCATTGGCATCTAAGTCATGGTATTGGACTAAACAGTAGTGCTTATTTTCCATAATAGCTTGGTGACATCTGTTTCCACAACGGCTCTACTCACATCTGGCTAAAACTCAATCTGAAGCCAAACAATTCAGCTGTAGCAAGTGTGCTTTTATCGAAAGCCAGAAATACAACAGCATGTTTTTTCTGCGTATCCAAATTTCCACAGACACCTATTAATTTGATCCAGAATGTCCTGTTTGCACAATATGCTATTAACCTGATAATGGGGAGTGAGATAAGCATGTCACTCACATTCTAAAATATGTTCATGGACTCCCCTCATTTTAATGAGATCCAATGGATCACCATGTCTCAGTAGACATGGTGATGTTTGCAACTAAACCAACTCCCACAATCAGTTAAATCCACCTCCCCCATGTTATGCAAAGTACTTAATAGGACTTTCTGTCATCAACATCCATGATCAAAACAGGATCCTAAACTCAGTAATATGCAAAATATACAAATATACAAAAAGTATACAAATATACAGTAATATACAAAAAGTCTTTTTGTTTTCAGTTGGTTCAGTGCCACCTACAGTGAAAAGGGTGACCTCATACTGATCACACCACTGTGATTTTTTTAAAAAAATGTATTTTCAGATATAAGGATGGGACAGCATCAGATCTTCTTTGCAGTAGCATTTGCAAAATCCAGGGGTTTTCATTCTATTTGAATCCAGCTATGTATCTATTGACTTGCCAGACTTGCCCAAATATTAATTATGGATTCCAGTTGACAGTCATCCATAATAATGTGACAGTGCTAATGCACAAAGGTGTATGGATTGACTGTGGAGAGTCTCACTGGGTATGCCATGGCAGGTGAATAAGCACCTATGCTTGACATAAATTATCCCTGAATACAATGAAGTTAAAATGTAACTATGTTAGTCACAACTTAGTATTTTGTTTCATGAAAAGAAATAAATTGTATAGAAAAAAGTTCCTGTTTCTTGACAAAAAAGTGACAATATTATCATTGTTATGCTTGGAGAATCAGAAATGGAAAGTACATCTTGTTTTTTTAGAGAATCCTACTTTTATTATTGTTGGTCACACACTGGATTTGCCATTTTTTTTGTATCCATCAAGACCCAAGATAGACAGATCTTGTTTAGGATGTCAATGATATTATCACAGGATATAAGCTGTTCAAAGTAAAGCTTTTGCAATTAACAGATGATAATTTTGTCAATGCTGATGAGATTCAAGTGGTGCTCCAGATGTTTTAGAATTGAACCTAAGTGCCCATTATTATTGTTTCTATATTTGCTTTCTTTTGCCACTGTCATTCTATTTCTATTTGCAGGTCTTTATATTTTGTATTTTGTCCAGTTCTGTCTCTTCTACTGTCTCTAGGTACTACAATGTATGCTATCCAGGTGGTCCACTGTTCCTTCAGCTTCTTTATTGATTTATTTGTCAAGAACGTATTAGGTAATAAATATAACAATAGATTGGATACATAAAATAGATACAAATAGAGGATACATTAGGACAGGGATCGTAGGCACACTGGTGCTCTTATGCATGACCCTTACAGACCTCTTAGGAATGGGCTGAGGTCAACAGTAGACAGTCTTAGGTTAAAATT